CATAATAGTATTAGGATGAATATCTTCAATTAACTTATATTGTAACATCTCCCATTCAGGGATAAAAACAACAATCTTATATTAACTGAAAAACTAAGTAATTAAATTATATATATATATATTCATGGCCTTCGTATTAAAATCTACCGAAATTTTGATGGAATCCCTCCTATTCCGAAAGGTCTCAAGTTATCAACATGTAACCTGTTTACTCTTTTAATAACTTGAATCTCATAACTCAATCCCGACCCAATCATTATGTGTTTCAATTCCACAAATATTATCACACTTATTAACCACAATATTCATGATATACATTATATAAAAAAAAATATCATTATGGATGGATAAAAATATAAAAACACAGACATGAAATATGGTTATATGAACTATAGAGTTAAGTTCATTTAATCAAGTTTAAACATTAATTATACAAATATTTTCAAGTTTACAAAATACAAGGGTATAGTCTTAGAACCTATATTACAAAAAGGGAATATAAGCTAAGATCTACTTCTATAGTGCATGCAATGATCCTAAAACAAAATATATATTATGAAAACATGAATATCATAATAAATATAACAACACGAATATCTAACAATTTAAAAAGGGTAACATGCTTTTATATTTTGTTTATTTCTTCCTTCTAGTTTTCATTAAATCTCTTCCTTGTTCAACTATTAATAATCATTCCCTCTTCCACTATCAACCTGCATTTTATGCTTTATAAGATCAAACATGATTATTTCTGCTTAATACATTATCGATACCAATTTCATTAGTATCATCATCATCACCCTGTAAGAGTCAAAGCATGTATGCTAGCCAATACATAGCGATCCCCTTATCCGGTATCTTAACATACATTAAATGCACGCTAATTGACACAATTAAAAGATTGATGTCTTCTAAATGCACGCTAATTGACACAATCAAAAGATTGATGTCTTCTTCCAAGTGTAGGAGTGTCAAAGTAATAATTAACCTAGTAAGATTGCGATCGAACCACAAGGAGGTTAATTGTATAAATTATAACTAACTAACTAACCAACTAACTAACTAACTAACTAACTAACTAACTAACTAACAACAATAATAATAGTAATAGTAATAGTAATAATAGAAAAAGAAGAAGAAGAAGAAGTTGATGAGAACTTTGATATGAAAGATCAATGTGAGGATTAAACAATGATAATAACAAATGTCAAGGTTAGATGATTCACTAATGGTATTTTAAATAAGTATAGTATAAACTCTTATTACTCAAATGGAAACTATACACAAAGAAGGACACAATTAGATTATAAATTGTTAACATGATTACATTAATTATCTTATTTGAATAATACTAATACTTGTAAATGTTGTTAGGCATTCATGATTATAACTTATGTTAACAACAAATCAAGTTCCTTCATAGCATAAGTGTCGATTATACCATACAGTATGAGTTATGAAAGTACCAAGTATTTGTTGTACTGAGTGTTATACAACATAAATCTAGATTAACCAGTTCTAGAAAATTGTCTCAGCTTTCTAGTAAAAAACAAATTGAGATCATTTGGACTTTTAGAACTCAAGAAATGGACTAAACATTGAACAATGTTTGGGATATAGGATAGATTTAAACTTTTTCATTGTTGCTCTAATTTGAACTTGAAAACAACCTTTTTAAATCTTGGACTCCAATGAATGTTGTCGGCCTATGTCTTACCTTTCCATTCATATAAAGTAGACTTAAATCTAAGTTCTACAGCTTCAAATATGATCCAATTACTGAACAATGTTCCAGTTTGAACTACACTAATATCTCTTTTCTAAATTTGACTATCTCTTTATCCTTTTAATTTCAGTTCTTAAACTCATCAATCAATCATTTCATTTATGTGATATGCCTGCATTTAAGATAAAAATTTACCACAAATTAAAGGTATCTTATATTATTAGATATGTTATTATAAAATAAACTTTAATTAAGAAGTTATTGATACTTCAAGTGCAAAATGATGATATAAAATCTTGATAAAAATGCATTTCTAAGTATTAATCACTAGTTAATACATGTTGATCCCCTTCCTTGGGATCCTAACATACACTAAATGTATGCTAGTCTAAACATGGCGATCCCCTTATCCGGGATCCTAACATTCGATCCCCTTATCCGGGATCCTAACATTCGATCCCCTTATCCGGGATCCTAACATTCGATCCCCTTATCCGGGATCCAACATGGCGATCCCCTTATCCGGGATCCTAACATTCGATTCCTTAACCAGGAGTTTTAGGGGTTATTTTGTAAATTTTAAATTGTTTCATGTAATTTTTGTTTAGTTTTTATAATTTGTAGTGTGGATGTAAAAAGAAAAAAGAAAAATGGTGAAAGTGAATGTGTTGTTTGTATTTTTTTTCTGGATTTTTTTATGATAAAATTGCAAAGAATAAAAAAGAATTTAATATTTTGATTTGCTCATAGTTAAATATTATAAACTTATATATTAGTCATATTTCTAATATCTGATGAAAAGATAAAATTTTTAAAACTTTTTTATCATATCAAAGCCACGAAATAACTTACTTTAGGTTGGGTGTGTTAGGGGTACTAATATCTTCTCTAATCAAAATCAGTCCTTTACTTGTGAATCTTTGACAAGACTAGTACATCCGAGTTTTCTAATAACTCTCAATTAAATATTAGGTGGCAACTTCTAAGAATAAATCAAGCAAAGAAATAAAAAATTACCAACCAATATTATGCGGTAACGTGTGACATAATATGATAATTTTTTGTGTAGGACTAACAAAAAGATCATGGTGATAATGATAACAAAAATAATGATGGATTTTGAATGCAAGAACAGCTAAGGATTTTTTAAGACTAGAATAAGTGTAAGTTTTTAGTGTTTTAAGGAAAAAAAAGTTTTTTTGTTTTTTTTTTTTTAAAATAAGGACTGTAAGTGGGGTTTTTTTTTTTAAAATAAGGACTGTAAGTGTCGGTTTGAAAAGAGAGAGAAGAAGGTTGCTGTGTTTATGTGTTTTCAATCAGGAAAAACACTTAAATTTTAATTAAGATTTCAGTTCACAGAGATATAAATTTCCTTTTGGTGCACACTTCACCACATTCTACGAGAGATTTTAGTTACAGCCACACAGAATCACGAGTCCGTAACAGGAAATTAGAGCTTCCAGATCATTTTTGGCACTCCAACCGGAGTTGTCTGCGTGGAAATAGTACCTGATTATATTGGCCATTACTATGATCGCGTTTGACAGCCTCAACTTATTGTTTCAATCATACAAACAGATGAAAAAAAGTAGGAGTTTTATTAAAAAAAAATTGAATAACAAAATTCAAAATTAAAAAAATAATACAATTAAAAAAATCATGAATGTCATTAACAGTTCGACAAATGACATATAAAAACATAGCATTAAGCATCTTTATTTTTTTAAAATTAAATAAATATTATTTTTAAGAATAATATTTATTTATTTTTTAAATTCAAAATATAAAATAACTTAAAAAACTTAAAAAATTTTATTTACCAATTTGTTTTTGTAAAGACTCGTAATTATTATATCCAACACTTTAAACTTTAGTATTTTTAAATTTTGTTTTGAGCTGTTTTTTTTTTTTTATTGTGTTACATTAAAAACACTCAGAAAGTAGTTGAAATAGAAAAAATATATTTTAATAATAAATATATTTATATTTTTAACCAAATATTTTTTTAATTTTTTAATTTATCTCTTCTACATTTATAATTTATTCTTTTGATCCTGATAACCCAATAAAGACAGCCTGTATGTCATGGCATCAGCAATGCAAAGCCAACTGAAGTTTGACTTCCATTTTTTTATGACAATTTCATATTTAATTTAATTAATGCGATAAAACAACAAATCTTTGAGTAAAGTGTCATATAATAATGATGATTTTCTCCCAATTAAATATTAAACGATACTAATTTATTATATCATCACATGATAAACTATTGAGAATTCGCATTAAAAAAATTCATAACATATATATATTACAAAAATGAAAATAGAAAAAGTTTTGATTTGAAAATAAGGGAAAGAAAGACACGAATTATAAATCAAATCATGATAAGTGGATCAATCAAGGCACGCTCTTCTAAAACAATCATCATTTCTAATTATATCGGTTTCACACAATGTTAAATATTGCAAGCATGAATATATTTTGTTTTAGATAATTATTTTATTTAATAGATAATAAATAACATATAAATATTATTAAATATTTAATATAAACCTAACATTTATATACATATATATATATATAATTTTATGTTTTATTGAATAATAAATAATAAATAATAATTAATATTTATATAAATATTTAAAAATTGTTAAATTAAATAGAAATATCTAAATTTATTATTCAATAATTATAATATAAATATACAGAAATTTAACTCATGGCTACCATTACCATCACTTATTGCTAATGTAGGCCACAATTTAAAATTCATAAAAGCAAAGTTTTATTGTGTCAATGGACCCAGCAGCTTCCAATAAGAAGGATGTTGTGTGCTTCATAAAGTAGGTTGAAGTTTTTTCAGGACATTTGTATAAGATTTATAAAATTAGTTAAAATTTATATTAAAAAAAAAATTATGAAAAGGATCATAAAGGAGGGGGAGAAATATAAAATATTGAATAGAAAAATTCACAAAAGATAATTTCCAATCTCATCCACTTGACAGCTACTAGAATTGATCATGAGTTATTAACATTAAGCGATTATTATTATATTCTATAGTCTATCACGAAAAATAAATAAATGAAGCAATGCTTCCCCCGAACACAAAATATTCTTTACCCTGAAAATTAAAAGAGAAAAAAAACCAGCTGGAGGTTATTTGGTCCAATATTTTTAATAATACTGGCTTAATATTATATATATTCCAATCTAATCCATTGCAATTTGCAAAAGTACTGTAATAACCTAGGTAAAAGCATATAAAAAAAAAATTACAGATCAATCTACAGCAAAGAGAAAAAGGAGAGTGATTTACTTCACAATTGTTTCTGCGCCAAAAATCCCATGTCTTGATCCAAAGCTAAGTGAAAGAAGGGCGCCTTCTTGTTTCAAGAAGCCAAGACTCTCAGTTTCTCTGATATCATCAGCAGCGACTTAATTTCCCAGATCTGCCACATTATTTCATCTTCATTACTTTCTTTATAATCTACATCAAAACAAGCAAAGTATTTAAAGCAACCCCCGGAAGCACAGTGTAAGAAGCTATCAACTTGAAAGAAGCAGACGTTGAAGGAGGTGGGGGGATATAATAGTAGAAAGGGAAGTATGGGACAATTGGGTTAGGAGGAGGGGGTGTAGGATAGTTCTTGTAATTTGGTGGAGGGTAATAAGTGCCGCCAATGACACCGCCTTGTGGAGGTGGCGGTGAAGAGTAAGTGTAGGTGGAAGCTGGTGGTGGTGGTGGAGAGTAGTAAAAGCCCCCTCCTGGTGACGCAGGCGGAGATTGTGGCGGTGGGCAGTTGGAAGTGGTGGCTAGTGAAGGAGGCGGCGGAGGTGGTGGTGGTGGTGATGTAACTGGGGAACTGCCACAACATGTGGAGCACATTGTGCATGCAATTTGGTACAACATTCTTGAATTTGGCAGTACTGTTGAAGATTTTGTCGAGGGCAGTAGCATTAAGAGAGCAAGAAGTGATAGTTTGAATTTGTGCATCGTTTCCATTTTTGTGGGTAAACTTTCCTAGATCAATGGAGCTTGAAAACTTAAGGGTACGTCTTCAACGTGTAATTTACAAGATGAACAAATAATTTATGCGAAATTCTTAATGAAATTTAGACAAGAAAAATGGGGAGAGAGAGAGTAACTAATGAGTGAGTATTATAGAGTATTTCTTATCTTCCAAGCGACACCATCCATCATGTACCCTTTTATCATGCATAATATATTTTTAGAAAATTAATAAATATAAATAGACATATTGATAAAATATTTTTTTAGTAAATAATATGATTAAAAAATTAATATCTTTTCATAATTATAAGAGTGTCAACGTAATAAATAACTTGACAATAACATGATAGAACCACATGGAGGTTAATTATATAAATTATAAATAATAATAATATAATAAGAACAACAATAACAACAATAACAATAACAATAATAATAATAATAATAATAAAGAAGTTGATGAGAACATTAAGAAGGAATATCAATGTGAGGATCAAACAATAATAAAAAAAAATGTCAAGGTTAGAGGATCCATTAATGGTATTTCAAACAACTATAGTATAAACTGTTTTTATTACTCAATTGGAAACCACACACAAAGGAGTTTCCAATCAGATTATAAGTTGTTAACATGATTACATTAGTTATCTTATTTGAATAATGCTAATACTTCTAAATATTATCAGGTATTCATGATTATAACTTATGTTAACAACAAATCAAGTTCCTTTCATAGCATAAATGTGGGTTATACCATATGGTTGGGCTATTAAAGTGCCAAATATTTGTTGTACCAAGTGTTATATAACACAAATTTAGATTAACCATTTAACAAGTAAAGTATTAAAAGTCAACAAGATAACAAATCAAAACTTGTTAGTATCAAACATTAAGATCCATGTTGAGTTTACACTATACTTATTCTTATACCATTAGTGTAACCTTTTCATCTTGACATAATAAACTTAGTTAAACATAATGAAGAAGAGAAACACGAATAAACAACATAAGAACATAAGTATAGGAAAGGAAATGAAAAACATAAGCAGGAGATTAAGAAAAATATAACATGAAATAAAACTTAAACATTATAAAAATATAGAGAAAGAAATAAAAAGCATGATCTTGATATGAAAACCAAGATGCCTGAAGCTATGCCAAATGTCATAACTCAGGTGTCGGTTATACCATATAGTATGGGTTAAGAAAGTGCCAAGCATTTGTTGTACCAAGTGTTATACAACATAAATCAAGATTAATCATTTACCAAGCAAAGTATTAAAGAATGAACAAGATAACAAATACAAAACATGTTAGTATCAAGCATTAAAATCCATATTGAGTTTACATTATACTTATTCTTACACCATTAATATAACCTTTTCACCTTGACATAATAAACTTAGCTAAACATAATGAAAGAAAGAAAAATAAATAAATAAATAAAATAAGAACATAAATAAGATAAGAGTTAACTAAGTAAAGGAAAGGAAATGAAAGGCATAAACTTGATATTAATAAAAGCAAAACATAATTAATACAAAGAGAGAAAGCAAAAGCATGATCTTGATCTAGAAACCAAGATGCCTAAATGCATGACAAATGCCTCCTTTTATAGGCCAAAATTGGAAACTATTGATTTGATGACTTATTGATGAGTGGGTGGCCAACTCTTGACTTGGTGACAATCCTTAACTTCTCTTGTTTACCCAAAACGTCATTGATAACTTCAAAATTGGAGCCACTTGAAACATAAAAGTTGTAGAACATTGTCTCAGCTTTCTTGTGTAAACAATTTAGATCATTCGGACTTTTAGAACTCCAGATATGGGTCAAACACTGAACAGTGTCCGGGCTAGAAGACAGATTCAGACTTCTTTGTTGTTGCTATAATTTGGACTTGAAAATGGCCTTTTTAAGTCTTGGACTCTATATGAAAATTATAGGCCTATGTCTTAACTTTCCATCCATATAAAGTAGACCTAAATCTAAGATCTACAACTCTAGATATGACCCAATTACCGAACAGTGTTCCGGTTTGGATTGCACTGACATCTCTTTTCTAAGTTTGGTCATCTCTTTGTCCTTTCAATTTCAGTTCTTAAATTCATCAATCAATTCTTTCATTTATGTGATAAGCCTGCATTTAAAATGAACATTTACCACAAATTAAAGGAATCTTATATTATTAGATATATTATTATAAAACATGCTTTAGTTAAGGAGTTATTGATACTTCAAGTGCAAAATGATGACATAAAACCTTGATAAAAATGCACTTTTAAGTACTAATCAAGACACCCCTATGAGTTTAGTAACTCGAGTTGCAGATACTGATATGTAGATAATGCAATGTTTGATTTCCTTAAACTTTTCTTCTCAACCCATGTAAGAAATGTTGGACCAATAACTCCTAAGTTAGTTGAGTTTAGGGTATTAAGTGTTAAACACCCCTTCAAGCTTAATTGCTTAGGTTAAGGAGGCTATGAAACCAAATTTATCTATGTTTTTATTATCATCATTTTGTTTTTTGTTTTTTTTTTGTTTTTTTGCAATTTATTTACTATACATTTTTCTTGGTTGTTACCTTTAACAAAAGAACATAAATAATGTAATAATATAATGTGCAACCTGACACGACGAAAAGATTGATGTCTTCTCCCAAGTGCAGGAGTGTCGAAGTAATAAATAACCCGGCAAGACCGGGGTCGAACCACAAGGAGGTTAATTGTACAAATTATAAACAACAATAATAGCAATAACAACAATAACTATAATAATAATAATAATAATAATAGTAGTAGTAGTAGTAATAATAATAATAATAAAGAAAGAGAAGAAGAAGAAGATGATGAGAACTTGGAGATGGAAAATTAATGTAAGGATTAAACAATAATAATAACAAATGTCAAGGTTAGAGGTTCCACTAATGGTATATCAAACAAGTATAGTATAAACTCTTATTATTGATACTGCTGGTTGGTCTTCAGGATCTCCAGAACTTGCTTCAAGTGTCTAAGGTGAGCTTCTAGAGAAGAACTATAAATAAGAATGTTATCAAAGAACGCTAAGACAAATTTCCTCAGGAATGGCTCCATTTGAAACAGTGCCTACTGACAAACCTGAAACACACTTAAATAAATATAAAAAACATCAAAACACAAATATTATGTCCAAGGACTTAAATTCTATTAATAAAACAAAAAAATACAATTTTTTACAAACTAAGACTTAAATTGTAGTTGTGATTGTGGCTCACATCTTCCTTTAGTTTTACATCCAAGAATGGCTCTAACGCCCTTTATGAGTCGGGGATAAGCTTTCCATCCAGTTTTCTTAATAACTAATAAATAAGGTCTTTTTTATTTAGATTTCCAAGACTGGGCCGATCATGTTCTTTATGAAAATAGGGCCATAAATCATGAATTGCATGATGCACATCTCCACTAGGATGCATCACAAGAGTTAATAGAAGATTATTTAAAGACTCCTTACTCATACCATCCTTAATGAATTGTATTTTATCTTCACAGTTTATAGATATCATTCCTAAATAATGACATTGTGCATTACAAGTCCATCTGGCACATTATTGACAAACTTTCAGTCATTTTGTATGATGTTTTTTTTGCAAAAGTGTTTTTACCTGTCTCAGACACGTATGAAATAAAAGAATTGAAAGACTCACCTGATAATCGGACCTTTGCTTCAATTAGCCAACGAATCTCTTTAGGAATTCCATGGTTCATTCACAACCTCAATCTTGCACACCTAGCTCAGTAAATTTTTGTAATCGCATTTTGAGGCAAAGTGAGAAAATAATTTTTTAATTTTTCAAGAGTGGTGTCTATTTTTTTAAAAAAATGAGAAGTGAAAAAGAGAAGCAAAGAAAAAAGAAGGAACAAAGAATTGAACAAATATATACACAAATATCATTTACCATAGAAAACTAAAAAATCGGGGTGAGAAAGACTAGCAAACTAAGAGTCATACAAAAAAACACAAAAATAATGTGAGAAAAATAAAATAATCAACCTTTTTCTACAGGATCATTCAAACCAATGGATTCATTTTTACTAGGAAAATTATTAAGGTAAGCTTTCAACAATGTCCATTTACCTTAAATAGATCACTCCATCTTGATCTTAGCTCTTCAAGGAATAAATGGAGTCGAGAATTATAAAACAAAACTTTTTTACTAATATCAACTTTTTGATAATTTTCATAAGTTTTGCAGAATGCATGCGTGTCCTTGAACATGGTGGGCTAATAAAATCCACATTGTAAGATTTTTGCAATCGTCTTTTTTTGACGAGAAATGACTCCCACATGCCTCAGAATAAAAAAAAGTTAATGACACTACTTACCTCATTGTCAGGAATGCATCTTTGAAATATTTGATCAGGACAGTGTTTGAATATGTAAGGGTCATCCCAATAAAAGTTCTGCACTTCGTTCAAAAACTTACTTTTGTTTTTAGTACTCTAATAAGTTGGCAAATCTTCTAAAGAAAGAAAATTGATAAAATTAGCAAACCAAGGTATTGATCTAAAAGAAAGTAAAGATTCATCAAGAAAGTAATCATCAATTGGTGTGATGTCGGATGTTGAATCTATTATCACTTTTAACAAAAGATCCGCATCAATATTTTTGGTGCCTTTTTCATCCGTGATTTCTTCCTAAATAAATCATTTGCCAATCTCAGATTCATCAAACTTTGTTTTACTCAAGGTAGATTTAAATTTATTATAAACTAATTCGCTAATAAGATCTATTTCCTATGAATCATTATCATCTCCAGGTTATTTATAAATATTGAAAATATTCATCTCCAATGTCATGTTTCCAAATGATAGCTTCATCAGTCCATTTCTACAATGAATCAATGCGTTAGAAGTTGCAAGAAATGGATGTCCTAAAATAATAGAAAATGAATTAATACTTTAACATGTTGTGTGTCCAAGACAATAAAATCTATAAGATAAATGGATTTATCGACTTGTACTAACACATCTTCAACTATTCCTCTATACACTGTTACAGATCTATCAGCAAGTAAGAGAGTTACAGAAGTTGGTTTTAACTCACCTAGATTGAGACTCTAAAAGACTGAATATGGAAATAAATTCATACTAGC